ATACATTGGACAAGCTAATGGCGAATTGCACACATCGCAGAACACAAGAACACAGTCAGAAAAGAAGAAAAAACTTCCTCCCTCTTCCAGCACCTTAAAGCAGTGTTTCTCAACCTTGGCAACTTGAAGATGTCCGGACTTCAATTCCCAGAATTCCCCAGCCAGCATTCGCTGGCTGGGGAATTCTGGGAATTGAAGTCCAGACATCTTCAAGTTGTCAAGGTTGAGAAACACTGCTTTAAGGTGCTGGAAGAGGGAGGAAGTTTTTTCTTCTTTTCTGACTGTGTTCTTGTGTTCTGCGATGTGTGCAATTCGCCATTAGCTTGTCCAATGTATGCGGCTGGGCAGATTTTGCATGGTATTTCGTAGACTCCTTGGTTTTCTAGCTGGATCTTCTCTTTTGGGATTTGTGACTTCCGGTTTGCTTGTAGGGTCGTTTTTTCCCCTCCGGAAGCTTCAGGAAAGCTCCTGAAGCCTCCGGAAGGCCTCTGGGAGGGCGGGGGAGGCTGTTTTCGCCCTCCCCAGGCTCCCATAAAGCCTCTGGAGCCTGGGGAGGGCGAAAAAAGCATGCAAAAAATGGGGGGGTTGCCTGTCATGCACACATGCGCACGACCCCCCTGCACTCCCCCCACTTATGGCACGCAAGACAAAAAAAAGTTCGCCATCGCTGCTCTAGAATGTTCAAATTATTAGACTTATTTTTTAAAGACTGCTTTATTATTGCTCTAGACAACTTAACAAAATGAAGCAGCTTTTTAAAATAAATGCTCTATCTGAAGAGAGGCCCAATGCTCCTGTATCTTCTTTTAAATAGCCGAGAATAACGTAGACTTCCAGAAAGCCACATCAATTTTAACAGCTTCTGTACAAGTATAGTCTGAAATGTAACACTACAAACAGTGTATATCGCTTGTGCTGTTTGCTGTTTGTTGCAAGGAGGCAAATTGTTGAGAGGCAGATATTTTTCCCTTGTTTTCCTCCCCCAAATCTAGGTGCGCCTTATACTTTGGAGCATCTTATACTCCGAAAAATACGGTATGTTTATGTGTACTGAAATGTATGATACCATTCACACCATTCACGCATTGATACGTATAAAGAATATAAAAAATAAAAATGTGATTGTAAGATTGAGGAACATTGCCCCTTCGCTTTCTTCTTCACAGGCCTCTCTACTTACCCCTCCGGGTTCTCATCACGGCGGAGACATTCACCCTCTCCAGTAACATCATTGTGGACACCTCGGTCTTCCTCCTTCGGTGAGTTGTGGCGCTGAGCCCTCCAAATCTCTTGGTGTGTGTGTGTGTGTGTGTAACAGAAGGGGTCTCAAGGAAGCTGAGCCCCGGGGAAAAAAGAGGCGGATTTGGGGCTAGAATGCAGGGAGCCAGCTGCCCATTTCCTCCTCCTTTGCGGACAAATTTAAAAACCCACATGCACGCCAGGAAAGACGCATCGAATCTAGGGTGGGTGCGCCTGTTTGTAACTGTCGGCATGTTGCACCTGTTGGATTCCGCATGGATTTCCTTTTCCCCCAAGAATTGAGAAATGGGTGGCTCAGTGACTAAGACTTGTTGATGAGAAAGGTCGGCAGTTTGGCGGTTCGAATCCCTAGCGCCGCGTAACGGAGTGAGTTCCTGTGACTTGACCCAGCTTCTGCCAAGTTAGGAGTTCGAAAGCACGTAAAACAATGCAAGTAGAAAAATAGGGACCACCTTTGCTGGGAAGGGAACAGCGGCGTTTAGTCATGCCGGCCATATGACCACGGAGACATCTTCTGACAGCTCTGACTCTGGCTTCGAAACGGAGATGAGCGTTGCGCCCTAGAGTCGGGAACCTATAAGAACTGAAAGAAAGGAATCTTTCCCCCCTTGCTGGATTCTCAACAATCTCACCTGTAAGAGATGGGCAGCAAACATATTTAACGGGGAATTAAAAATGTACGGGTGCTCAATTTTTAAAACAGCTCAAGTGGATCCTAAAACCGAACCTGTTTATTCTCCCGCTAGGTTCATTTTGGATAACTCCACGCTGTTCCTCTCCAACAAGTGTGACACAGAGACCGGTGACCTAAATAAAGGTACTCCCCTCTTATCCCCTCCCCGCCTGCCCCCCCCCCCAATGGAAATTTTCTTGGGCAAATGCCATGGCTTTTGTGAAAAAGGTTGGTAGCCATCAGCCTTAAAACAGGAGAGATAATACATTATATAATTATAGCAGGTTATAAAGCCTTAGTAAGGCCATACCTAGAGTACTGGATCCAGTTTTGGTCACCACATTATAAAAAGAGGTTGAGACTCTAGAAAGAGGGCAGAGAAGAGCAACCAGGATGATGGGGGGACTGGAGGCTAAAACAGACGATGAACGGTTGCAGGAACTGGGCCTGGCCAGTCTAGGGAAGAGA